TTTCCAAGTCATTTTGGGCCGTTTCTTTTGGTCCATTCATCATAAAATTTGCAAACAAAACGACAAAAATGGAGATATGAGGTTTTCTTCCGACAGCAGCGATTATGCTATGCAGAAAATAAAAAAATAGAAATAAAAATAGACATATGTTAAGTATAAGAGTAGAAATAAAGTATATCTATTTGCACATTTACACGGCATATGAGACAGATTTGTTCTATTTACATGATAGCAGGCACTGAGTGGTATTAGGTAAACTAAAAGCACAGTGATTATAGACGTAACTAGGAGTTGCAGCAATATTACAGTGTAAGCTGCATAGTGAAAGTGTCATTACAGCAGCAGGTTATGATGGGTTATATATCACAGTTGGATGTCAATAGTCATTATTTCATTTTTATTCATTTTATACATTTTTATTTATTTGAATATAAGCTATTGTTTTAGATCTTTTATTTAATTAATTGTTTTTTATTTATCCTTATTTTAGCTTACTTATTAAACTTACTATATTGCTGTCATTTTAATGGTTCATTAATTTATTATTATTTTTTAAATTTACTACAATAATAATTACTTTTAATATATTTTATTCCCAAATTATTTATTTTTATATTATATTATTATGATCTAATAATAATATTAATATATTATTATTATTATTATTTATTTATTTTATTTAATTTCTCAGTCCCTGTTTTCTGTTTTAGTATGCCTACATTGTAAATGAGGGTCTCCGTCAATGTACTCAGAGTTTAAATACAGGCTGATTGATTGATTGATTGAAATATCTACATGTTGCCCCTTAATGTATTGACTTTGGGGTGTTCTCTTTAAAGTCCCTGAGAATTTTCAGCAGTCAACAGGAGTTCCAGCGTGACTTGTGTCTACCTCTGCTCGCTGGTGAAGTGGCCCTGTGGGTATCATCATTGCGTCAGGTAGTTTGCTGTATTTAGTTACCTTTTCTAAGAGACGAGAGTCGAGAGGCCTCTGTAATGTAACCTAATATGCAAGCTGTGTGGTCTCCAGTGTCTGCCTGTCTCTCTTGGGTTACATAGTTTCTTGTTTTTTTTTATCTGGACGGTGAGAATTCATCAAATTAGTTTGTAACTAATTTGATCATAGTTTGAGGTGAAATTAGCTTTTTTTGATATTTTAAAATGATTTTTCATGATTTGGGTCTGGATTCAGGAAAGCCTTCGTAGGAAAAAACTTGCGAAGGTTCTTTAGACAAACGAAGTTCATGAGAATGTTCATAAATGCAGTTCTCGAACAAACTTCTCAGATATTCTCTCAAGATAATCTTGATTATTTTCTTTGTTTTCTTATTATGTATTTTACCCCGTGCCATAAATGATGCAAGATACATTTTGAAATTGTATTAACTGTTATTTACGTTATTCAGTTTAATCCACTCAGAGGAGCAAAATGGAAGAAAAAAATCAAACCAAGTGTTTAAAAAAAAAAAAATGACCAGACAAGAATTAGAGGTAATGATGTGAGAAATAGCCAACAGGAACAAAATCCTCATTGGAAAATATGATAATTGTGAGGTGACAAACGAGGACGGGCAGGAGGAGCAGAGGCAGCGTCCGTGATAAATGTAGATGCTCACCTTGTCAACTCCCACAGCCTACGACGAGGATGAGGCTACCGTAAGGTTAAGAAAACATTTAAGAACATAATATCGTCGGGACCAAAGGCTGTCCCCTTCAACTCCAGGCCTCCAACATAATAATATGAATAAAAGGAAATCTTTTAATACCGGCTAAACACTCACACTAATAACTGTTCTAAGTCTAAGTTCTCAAAAGATGTCAAAAAGGAAAGAGTCTTCAGACGCTGAGTTTGTGGAAAGAGGGAAAAAGGCTTCTTTATTCAGCATCAGGTGGCACAGGGTCTCGAAAGACCCCAACTGCGCAAATACAGTGTTCCAAACAACAGTTTATATAAAAATATATATTTACTGGTTTCATCTGTTTTTTACCAGCCTGCTTTACCTTTCAAGGTCAACTTGCCCCTCTCTTCACTGGGTCAGTAGGTACACACAGGCCTGTCTGTGAAACCAGGGGCCTTCCAGTGTCCAGAATCTCCTATGCCGACAGACTAAGGCCCAGTACTACCTATTTGGTTATTGATTACAAAATCTAATCTATTTGATTACTGATTAAGGGACTGTTTATTCAAAATCTCTGTCAATATTTTCAAGAATACCACTATTTTTAAGAAAATAGCTATGAAAAGAAAATAAGATAATTCTTAAGAAGTTATTTGAGGAATGGCAGTTTCTCATAACTTAAAAAAAAACACATTTAAGAAAATTTTCTTTCGTAACCTCTTATTGACCAGGGTATATTTTTGTTTTCCCTTCTGAATCTACATGACCAAATCGTAAGGCAAATTATTCAGTAACTGCATGAAATAAATGTATTTTTTTATTTTTTTATTGTAAAAGCGCCACTCAGATTAACAGACCATGTGTTTTATGATCACACACATCGCTATATGCTTACAATTTACTGCTGAAATCCAAAAATCTTAGACGCTCTTTGTATTATTTTATAAAAATAATGTTTACAGAGCAGATCACTGAAGAGACGCCATCTGTTTATAGTTTATAGCCCAGATTTGTGGAAAAATGGGTCGACTTTCAGTAGAAGAAAAAATTGAGTTCAGCTTCTTTTATTATAAGGGTTTAAAATTACATCGCCCATCTATTTGACTGGAAAGAAGACAGTTACAGCTCCCATATGACCCCCACCTTTAGAATGTAGCTTATGAAATATGAAAGTTATGAAGAATATGACGAAGTGCATTTTGGAACCACTGGTGGTCCCAAGAAGTTGAAGAGGACACTTTCATGAATCTGGCCCAAGATTTGTTTTTCTCCTCGCTCCCTTGTCTAAAATCAAAAAAGTACTATTTGGACGAGGTTAGTTGGTGTAATGTAATTTTTCCAGCGTTTTCAGTGATTTTCGTCCCGTCTGAATCCACCACGTTCGTTTTATAGACCACACATATCAGTAAAGATCCCAGTGGCTTTTAACCACTATAAAGCAAACTGCAGCAGTAACCTTTCTTTAAAGTGGTGCTGATTGGGAACCGGAGCCGATGTCTACAAACAATACAGAGTAATTACGTCAAAAGTTTCCATGATTTTATATGTAATGTTGACAATAATAAAAATTGTGGTAAATCTGGGAAAAAAAAGTTTTCTTTAGGGTAGGGCTCGAAGATTAATTGTTTTTATATCGAAATTGCAATTACACACAGTGGCTTCTCAGTGATTTTAGGTCCCATCCTAATCCACCAGTCATTGTTACAGTGCATTCTCACGTCAGTAAAGATTCTTACCTACTACAAAACAAACAATAAAAATAAGTAGTGCTGGCTGGAATCATAGCGTTTATGTTAATCCTGTACTGTAAACAAACCGTGCGAATAACCCCAGGTTAGATTAATCCTACCCTGTAAATCGAACTACCAAATTAACCCCAGGTTATATTAATCCTGTACTATAACGTGGGATTATTTCTACAGTTCGTTTATATTTATCTCATGCTATAAAATGAAGCATAGAAATAACCAGGTAATTTTAACCCTGTGTGAATTGCCTTGCTGGGTAAATACTGCATCCTGTGGAAAAGATGTTTTGGGTTCTCTGTGACCCAAATAAAGCTGACATTTATTGTCCCACCTCAAGTGAACAACATTAAAACTTGTAAAATGACAGAAATAAGTCTTGATTTATTACAGCGATGTTGGCTGTAAATTCTAAATGGGCTGTAAGATGCTTTACAGACTGGCTGGCAAAACAACATTAATACTGATCTGGAAAAAACTGATAAAACTGAGCTGAACTTGATATTGCGGCAGTTTTATGGCTCAGTCCGTACTTCAAAAGGCGAGGCTTACAGCAGACTGAGCAGCGAGTGGGCGGAGCTCGTTACTCTGACGGAGCAACAAGCTGCTCGTTAAGGAACTATAATTTGGCTGAAGGAACTGCGAACATTAAAACATATTAAACGCCGCGTTCACGGCCCAGTTTATTAATCTATTACTTTATTTATTTAACTGTTGTATAAAAGCAATAGAACACTCGAGGAGTGTGTTATCGCCAATAACACCACGGCTGTGATGATATTTCGCTTGAACACAAGAAGGAGTGTGTTAAAAAAAACAGGTACGAAACTGTCACTCCTCTTGTCACTGAGGTGGTACCTCCAAGGCTCCATCTCAGTACCTTTAGTCAGGGAACATAACTGAACCATAATCCACTGAAATGATATGTTCTAAGCTGTACTGACTCCACACACCCCGTCTCGTCTCCAGGCTTTTATTTTACTGTTCTGTTTTAAAACATTCGGTTATGAAAAGGAACAAATACAAACTTTTCACCTGGAAAAACTCATTTAAGGTTTACAATCAGACCTTAAAACCACTGTTGTACCTTTGAGGGAACATTTACACTGTTTGTACCTTGATGAATGAAAAATGTACCTGAACAGAACCTTTATTTCTAACAGTGTACAGTAATGTTTACAGGTCACATCAAAATCTTTGGATTTCAATAGTTGAGATTGTGATGAGTTTAACATTTGTAGTTACCACATGTTCTCCAAATGCCCATCTTGTGGCCTCAAAGTGGTCTGGAATATGAACTCAGCAGTAGAAACGATGTAACCATGCCATGTGGCCTACACCCCTCATGTGGGCAGACTGCTGGGTCCCTCAGTGGAAAGAACAGTTATACAGGGAATGGCTCACCCTAAATATCCGAGGACTCGGGACATCAGCTTGCATGGTTTTTCCATTTCATTGCGGCGCTCGTTCAGTACTGATTCTGATCTTCGTTTGTAGAGAGAAATCACTACATTTTGAGGATCTTTTCACGCTCCTTCATCCTTCCTTTGCTGGGTGCCAGTCTGTGCTGTGTTCTTGTCTGCTGGAGCATTTAAAGACTTTTATTTGTTAATTTATTGTTTTTTTTACAAACACAGGCAAGATCTAAGTAACCCGACTCTAAGCCAAGTCAAAGAGAACCCGAAGCTGCAGGTTTTCCTGCTCAGATTGCAGCCATGTTGGAAGAGGATATGGAGGTGGCCATCAAGGTGGTGGTCGTGGGCAACGGCGCCGTAGGGAAGTCGAGCATGATCCAGAGATACTGCAAGGGCATTTTCACCAAGGACTACAAAAAGACCATCGGCGTTGATTTCCTGGAAAGACAGATAGTGTAAGTATCTTTCTGTGTGCTCACTCTTGTTGCTTTGAAATCATCCCAGAGGAAGAAAATTATTTCTTAAGATTGTCTCAGAGAAATAAAGCAGATCTCAATATATATGTTAATGAAGGTTCACTGATTTCTGAAATGTTTCTCCTGAAACCCCCAGTTTTAAAAGAAGCTGAACTCTTTCTACTGAAAGTCGACCCATTTTTCCACAAATCTGAGCTGTAAACTGGATCTCAGGTGGCGTCTCTTCAGTGATCTGCTCTGTAAAAATTATTTCTATAAAAAAATACAAAGAGCGTCTAGGATTTTTGGCTTTCAGCAGTAAATTGTAAGCATATAGCAGAGTTTTGAGTTTTATTTCTCAGGAGCCAAATTTTAATAAACCGGAGAAAATGGCTTAAGTCTCCCTCACTCATTTTATGAGTTTTATGCATTTATGGATGAGTTTTATGGATGCTTTGCACCCTCATTACTCAGTGAATGCTTGGGTTTCCCGTCTACGCTGCTATTCGGGTAGCTTTGGTTACATATACGCCTGTTGTAATATTGCCTGGAGGGCTGCGGGGGCTCATCTGTTCTGAGAAGTGGAGAGGATTAAAAATAATACCAGGTGAACCAAGGTGATAAATGTGACAGTAACAAAGAAAAAAAAGAACTGATTGCCGTAAGTCATCGAGTGATTTGAGTGTAGTAAACACAGACGCATGCAAAAGTTTGAGTACATGTTGGTTAAATGACATGTTGATTTGTTGTTAACACAACCTCAAACATATTTGTGCAGAAAATGCCATATTTAACCCTTTAAATTCCCAGTTTTATTAAATACTAAGGCTTCTTATTCAGTAACTACAGGGACTTCAATGCAAACTGGTTGAGCTATTCTTAGGTTATAGAAATGTGTAATAAACACTTTGGGCCCACTGGCAGTAACAGTACTCGGTATCGGACGATACTAAAGGATCAGGTATTGGTATCGGAAGGGATAAAGTGGTATCGATGCATCTCTAGTATTTCAGTTTCAGGCACTCTGCACACAGTTACACAGACTGTCTGATGTAAACTGCACAGTAAATCACCACAGCTCTCAGAATCTCACCTCTCACTGATAATTAAACCTGGCTCTGGTTTGCGCGCTGTCTGATGGGAAACAAACAACTGTTTATTAAGCTAAACGCTAGTAGCAAGTAGCAAATACAGGGAAACAAGTTGTTCCAGTGCTGCTGGAGTTTTTAAACACCTCAATGTCACTGCTGGACTGAGAATAGTCCACCAACCAAAAATATCCAGCCAACAGCGTCCTGTGACCACTGATGAAGGACTAGAGGATGACCAACACAAACTGTGCAGCAGCAGATGAGCTATCGCCTCTGACTTTACATCTACAAGGTGGACCGACAAGGTAGGGATGTCTAGAGTGGACAGTGAGTGGGACACAGTGTTTAAAAACTCGAGCAGCACTGCTGTGTCTGATCCACTCGTACCACCGCAACACATACTAATACACCACCGCCACGTCAGTGTTACTGCAGTGCTGAGAATGACCCACCACCCAAATAGTACCTGCTCTGTGAGGGTCCATGGGGGTCCTGACCACTGAAGAACAGGCTAAAAGGGGGCTAACAAAGTATCAGAGAAACAGATGGACTACAGTCTGTAACTGTAGAACTACAAAGTGCACCTATATAGTAAGTGGAGCTGATAAAATGGACAATGAGCGTAGAAACAAGGAGGTGGTCATAATGTTATGCCTGATCGATGTAAACCTGTTTGCCTCAGTGAAATATTATGATACGCACTGCAGAAGCAGAAACACTTTTAATAATTGTATTTATCTGATTTTGTCTTCGGAGGCTATTGTAGCACCTCCCCCTGACCAGTAAGACCCCACAGCTTCACAAATATCTTCAGGCTTCCAGATGTTTCATACATGAAACGTCATTTTTGGGAAGGAAAAGTGACTCAGCCTTCAGCTGAAGTCAAGCAGATCTATTGAGTACATCAGCAAATGTGAAACTTCATAAAGATTCCGGGGCCCTAGTTTCCCAAAAGCAGTGTAGAGTTGGGGCAGCATGTTCAAAGTGATACTTGCTCTTCCATTTAAAGATGGTATTTATGCGGTAACATGTTAAAATTTATCTCGCAGTGGTCAGTGAGGGCTCACATACATCATAGTTTCTCCTTGAGAAAAGGGAAGTGGACATGCCCACAAACAAGCCTTATCAATCCGAAACTAAAAGAGCAAGCAAACACTGAGTTGTACTTAAAATCCTTACGTAGTCTTATGTTATTTACGATTGAGTTCTTCTTGTACGAAATGTTGTGATAAGCATTTATTTGGATATATTTGTTTAGATTAAATCAATCTGAGCTTTATCATTCAGAAGGTTTAATACTGTTCTTTCTATCAAGACACCTGTCTAGAAAGAATGACTCATTAGTGGAAGGATGGTGAAATAAAACCGTAGTAATTTGTGATTAAATTTAATTGTGAGTACATTTTGTTGAATTTAGCCTAGTTAGATCCTGATGAAAAATGAGGGAAAAACAAAGTGGAAATTAAGTGTACCTTTGAGAAATGGGAACATAAAAACATAGACTCTTATCAAAAACTTGTTTTAGTTGTACGTCCAGCAGCACTGTGTGTCTCTGAACTAGGCCTGAATGATGCACCGATCAGGCATAACATTATGACCACCTCCTTGTTTCTATGCTCACTGTCCATTTTATCAGCTCCACTTACTATATAGGTGCACTTTGTAGTTCTACAGTTACAGACTGTAGTCCATCTGTTTCTCTGATACTTCGTTAGCCCCCTTTTACCCTGTTCTTCAGTTGTCAGGACCCCCATGGACCCTCACAGAGCAGGTACTATTTGGGTGGTGGATCATTCTCAGCACTGCAGTAACACTGACATGGTGGTGGTTTGTTAGTGTGTGTTGCGCTGGTACGAGTGAATCAGACACAGCAGTGCTGCTGGAGTTTTTAAACACTGTTTCCACTCACTGTCCACTCTATTAGACACTCCTACCTTGTCAGTCCACCTTGTAGATGTAAAGTCAGAGATGATGGCTCATCTGCTGCTGCACAGTTTGTGGAGCTGATAAAATGGACAAGGAGCGTAGAAATGTTATGCCTGATCAGTGTATCTATATCTAAAAATAATTAACACAATATTTTCTTGTTGTAAAAAAAAAAAAAGATTTATAATCATGATGACCATCATTGATGATTGAATCATTGACTTTCATTTGTCATCCACTGCAGTGTTGCATGGCACATAAAACAGTTCCATGTAAAACATTTCAGGACTTGGTTTTTCTGGTCTTTAACTGAAGTGTTTGTTGCTGAATGTGATCATCTCTGAATTATTACTGGCAATGAATACCATAACAGATGCATGCTTACAGTAAATGTGAAAGCACTGACATAGTTTACACAGTCACTACAGAAGTAATGCAGCGTGGGTACAAAATTGTGAGCCTTTGCAAATATTGCGATTGTATTTGGGTGAATTAGTGATCGCAGATTCCTGAAGGGGTTGGTAAAGAGAAGCTGAGCTGAACTATATCATTCAGTCTGACATCTGGAGCCACAAAAAGAAAGATATTCTCAAATCTGGTCATCTTTTCTGGGTGCCCACTAATTTTCATTTCAAAACCATGTGGTATAGAATACTATAGGTTATGGAAATGTAGACAAAAGCATTTGAGTGACGGCTCTGTTTCAGAGTGTGTAGGCTCTTGTTGAGTGGTTATAACTTATTTGACTGTAATAGTTTATACTTGCTCGGTAGTAATTAGTAGTGAGTTGGCAAACTTTCGCTACAGTTGCTGCTGTGAAGCTAACCAGTTGCTATCACAAACATTCGCAAACAAGACAAAGCAATACTGACCTATTGATTCTGTGAAACAGCAAAAATAAGTTAATTTTGCCCACCTGTCCAGCAGGAGCGACCTCCTCATCCGTTTTCATGCATTTCAACTCTCAGTGAAGCTGAAGTCGGCTTCTTTTTCGCCAGATTCCTGTCCAAATTTTCCCGTTCCACCTTAAATTGTGCCCTCATGCTGTGTGGGCGGTCACTGTCTGGGGAGGGCCAACACTTTCACAGGGCGGGACTAACATGTATGCACGGCCTGCCCAGGACGCCGTTACTCCACTATGTCTTTACATAGAAAACAGTTGTTTGCTGCTATATTAATGTTTAAAATGTCAAATAAATCACCTTTAACTCTGTGGAGCCACTGGTGGTTCCAAAACGCACTTCGTCATATTCTTTACTTCATAACTTTCATATTTCATAAGCTACATTCAGAAGGTGGGGGTCATATGAGAGCTGTAACTTGCTTCTTTCCAGTCAAATAGATGGGTGATGTCATTTTAAACCCTTATAATAAAAGAAGCCGAACTCTCAATTTTTTTTCTACTGAAAGTCGACCCATTTTTCCACAAATCTGAGCTATAAACTGGATCTCAGGTAGGTGGTGTCTCTTTAGTGATCTGCTCTGTAAAACTTATTTCTATAAAAAATTACAGAGCGTCTAAGATTTTTGGCTTTCAGCAGTAAATTGTAAGCATATGGCTTTATGTTTATGGTCATAAAACACATTTTCTGTTGATTTGAGGGGAACTTTTCCAAAACAGCATCTCAGCGGAGTGATACAGTGTTTGTGAAAAAAAACGTGATGTTATGGCGAAATAACAGCGCAGTTAGAACACTTCTATAATATTCCGTTATTAGATTATTCACAGTTGTGACGGGGGCTGTCTGGGCTCAGGCTGCTGTTTTTTGCCCCGCTAATCAATAGAAGGGGTTCATTATTCATTTGCTGATTGATGGACATTTGTTTAATGTGTGTTTCAGAGTAAACGATGAGGACGTGAGGTTGATGTTGTGGGACACTGCGGGTCAGGAGGAGTTTGATGCCATCACTAAAGCCTACTACCGAGGTGAGTTAAAGCAGAGAATGGGGCTCTGCTCCACTCTAGAAGCCTGAAAAATACAGTTGTTAATTAGCGTGTATATAGACGGTTACTGAGCTTTTTGTCGGTTATAGCAGGGATTCCCAAAGCCAGTCCTGGTGACCCATGCTCTGCACATTTTTGTGTTTTCCATACTCTAAAAAAATTGGTTTGTCAGTCCAAGCTGAAAAGAATATTTCATGTAGTAACAAGTGATTAAACTAGTTTTATTCAATATTTTATTTAAAGCATTAGTGTTGATTAAAACCATTTAATTTTCTTGTTACCACGTAATTTTTACGTTACCATTTTTACAGTATAAATGCTGTATGAAGTTTAATTAGTTAATGAGTTGAATCAGTTGTGCTACATAAGATTAGAGATGAAACAGACACACATTACACTGTAAAAAGTGTCTCGTCAGATCAACCCAAAAATACTATACTAAATAAATAATACTAAATAATACTAGTTAATTTACTTGTTACCACATGAAGTAATTTTTTAGGTAGATCTGATGAGCCAATTTTTACAGTGTACCAGGTACTGGGAGGAAATAAAGAATGAATGTGATCCAGTCCTGTAACAAATCTACCCTGAAACAGCACTCACTCACTCTGTGTGATGTGTTGTTAGCTGTGTAGTGGGGTTAACAGAGTGACTGAGCTGTTTCAGCATCATAGCCTACTTTTAGATGATCATCTTAAGGCCCAATTCCATTTCAGCCCTCGCCCCTACCACTTAGCCCTTAGGCCCTCTGTGTTGCTTGTTCACGTCTAGGGGTAGGGTGTCCCGATTCTTGTTGAGATAGAACGGAGGGTTTTCAGAGACTCCAAACAGAGTGTTATGAGGAAAAAAAGACAAACTGCTGAGACGGCTGGGAAGCGACCACAAATTAAAGTGTTTTTCTCCATTAAAAAAATACGATGATGCCATTTCAATGTATTATGGTCCTTTTCTTCATAACAAGCATAAATATTCGCTAGTAGTAGCTGATGTCTCAGTAGCTATCTAGCTAAATTTCCTAGCAGTTCTGACGCCTGAAGCGCCAGAATGGAACTGCTGCACCATTTTTAGGGTGGAACAGGACAATTCAAACGAGAAGCTAGGTGAATATCTGACTTCAGCGTTATATCACCCAGAGAAATAGGGGATATTGTCTCATTTCCCCCCCTTTTTAAAGATAAAAAAATGTAACTAAAGCCCAGCAGTGAGGAGCTGAACTTTACCCTCCTCTGCTGTCACTGCAGACTGGCAGGGTCGCCTACAGAGCAGCGCTAGCAGCTGTTAATGAAGTAATGCTCTTTTTATTTGAGGGTCCCATTTCAGAGGGAAGATTTCAACCACTAACGCTTGTAACTCAGTTCCAAAGTGACAAAAGTAAGAAATGGGTTGCGCGTAAAGTGAAAAGCTTTAAATAAAAACAACTCATTTTAAAGCTTGGTAGTTTTTAAGAAGAACTATCAGTATCAGCCAGGCATCAATATCAGCATTTGAAAAGAAAAAGTGATGCTGTACCATCTCTGCTATGATTATTATTGTTGTTGTTGTGGCATTTTATGTCATAGCATATATGCCCCTCTGCTGGAGTTTATTATTAATAATAATAACAATAATAAGTGACCCTTATTAGTTCCACAACAGGGAAATTTCACCTCTGTGCAGTGAAACTCCACATACACACTATTGAACACACACACTAGGGCACAGTGAGCACACTTGCCCGGAGCGGTGGGCAGCCCTATCCACGGTGCCCGGGGAGCAGCTGGGGGTTAGGTGCCTTGATCAAGGGCACTTCAGCCACGTACTGTCAGCTCAGTGGATCAAGCCGGCGACCTTCCGGTCACAAGGCTGGTTCTCTAATCTCCAGCCCACAACTGTCCCCCTTTGTGTGCTGTTCAGTACTCTGACGAGGACAGCTCTGTTTATCTTGAGGCGTGGTAACATTTGTGTGTCTGCAGGTGCCCAGGCCTGCGTGCTGGTCTTCTCCACCACTGACCGAGAGTCTTTCGAGGCCATCAGCAGCTGGAGGGAGAAGGTGGAGATGGAGGTTGGAGACATTCCCACTGTTCTGGTTCAAAACAAAATCGATCTCCTGGATGATACAGTGATTAAAAAGTACGACTGTAAGACTGTCTGTTGAACGGCAATTTAATGTGATGCAGCCGCCTCTTATAATTTATGAAATGCTGATCTTAATAACTGTGCTTGACACTCTTATTGGACACTGCAGTGAGGAAGCGGAGGGTCTCGCCAAGAAGCTGAAATTAAGGTTTTATCGGGCTTCTGTAAAAGAGGATCTCAACGTCAATGAAGGTGAGTAGCTTTGAGACAATAATCCAGCCAAATACTCACTCACAGTATGCAGTGGTTCCATAAAGGTAAATGAGAGAGCTTTATATTAAATAACTTTAGCTTTTAGTCTTTACAAGCTGTGTTAGCTCCTATTGGTTGACTTGTGCCTTTAGTTCAGGGGAGTCTGGTCTAATCCAAAAAGGGAGCTGGTGTAGCTGCAGGTTTTTCTTCCAACCAAGCAGGAGAAACTTCTGATTCCTCTTGTTTAATCAGTCTTCAGACATTTGATCGTGTCCACTCCTACTTGCTGGAATGAAAGTCTGCAGCCAGATGGGCCATTTGCTGGACTGGATTCTCCTGCACTAGTTTAACTTTCCTAAATTAACATACCTAAATAGTTTTTTACAATGATCTGTGTACTGTTAAAACAAGATGCATGTAATTGTCCTGTTGTCTTGTAGTTTTTAAATATCTAGCAGAAAAATATCTACAGCGGCTCAAGCAGCAGAGCGCTGAGGATCCAGAAGTTGTTCACACGTCAAGCAATAAAATAGGTGAGCCCACATTTAGGCTTATTTATCTGTAGAATTAGCTCAGCAGTTGTGCTGTTAACTCTGTCAAACCTAAGTATGATTATAGTTTTTTGCTGTTCGCTCAACTATCAGAGGACATTAATCTGGCCTCCATTGCTTTTGCTTTATTTGCAACAATGACATTGGTTTCCTGTTAGTCTGTGTAAACAGGGCAGGGGCAGTTTATTCATTTATCAATATTTATTGGATGAATAAATGTTTGTGCACAATGGAGTTCAGGGCTCTGTGCCAGCCTTGAACTTGAAACATTAAACAAGTGACCATGAACTTGGTTGTGAAATCTTTGTAGGTTTTCAGCATTAAGGCTTTATCACCCCCCTCTGGCAAAAATGGGAATTGCCCTACATGTTTTGAAAAAAAAATTAAATAAATAAATAAATATATATATATATATATATATATATATATATTTATTTATTAATAATGTTGTTCCAATTAGTCGATTTTTCATAATTGCTTATCATCCCAGCCCCTCATTTAACTGTAGAAAAAAAGGTTCCTCTTGCTTCTTCATATAAAAGAACAGAATTGGCACACATAATCAAAACATTAGAATTGTTTTGGTTTGTTAAAATTATCCCAAGCATTGAAAAAAGGCGCTTTACATGGTGAAACTTTCGTGCAACTAGTTGCATGCAGTATAATTTCTGTGCAACTTAACAGTTACATGAACCAGTTCAAAAACAATCAAAGCAGCACAAAACACATCCAGTTACTCCACTAGTCAAATCAGCAAATTATGCATCGTCACTATATAAAGTCTTCTGTGACGTTATTTCCATTTGCATTTTATTGTCTTTGCAGAATTTTTCCAGTTGTCATGATCTGCTGTATCTGTGGTTCTTTGCTATATCTTTGAGTCTTGAAAACTAATGTTTAAGTAGTCGTTTCAGTTGTATTTGATGTCTGGTTCATTCAGTGATGCATAAGTGCCGTTTGGCTAGTAATTTCACAAAGACATTTGCGGCTGAGTTTCAGATGAGTTGCAGGATGCTTTACATTATGCAGCTCAAGCACAATTTAGTTTCATGCTGGTTTCAAGCAACTAAAGTTGCATGAAAAGTCTCACCATGTCATGCATGGCACGCATTTCTAACCGTTTTATTTATTTATTTATTTTTGTTCCACCTTTTCCTCTGCAGGTGTCTTTAACACCACCAGCGGCAACCACCCCAACCATAACTCCAGCGATCTCAACGGCCGTGAGGTCATCAACTTGCGGCCAAACAAGCAGAGGACTAAGAAGAATAAAATCCCTTTTGGTAGCTGCACACTCCTCTAGAATGTCTCCTCTTCTACAGCATGCCTCGACTGCCTTGTTGGGAGTGATGAGCTGCCGGTGTGGTCCAGGTGACATGGGACATCATTAACACTAATCAGAGAAAAGGCAACATCTCCATTTGAACGCGCTCAGTCCAGAGGAGATTTTGCTTTTACATAAAGCTTTAACCGAGGCCGACCTGCCCACATAACTGTGGTCATGTTAGTGGTCCCTGATTGCTGTGGAGGAGTCTCATGTCATGTGTGATCATAGCAGCAGGCTGAATGTACTGTAACGGTCAAATTGTGGGAACAAGCACACTCTGCTGGTTGCACATGGTAAAGTAACTTTGGTGGAGTGAGAGTCTTAAAAGGATGGTTCACCAGAAAATTAAACTTACATAATTTTCTCCTTTGCTTCTTATGTAGTCAGTCAGCCAGAATGTGTTTGGTGTCTGAGGTTTGCTTCTTTAGTTCTGCCTTGGAGCTACAAGGCTAATATAATATGAGGCAAATATCCCATCATTTTTATGGAAAAGGAGTTTTTGTGTTATGGATGCTTAAAGAATTTTTACTTCAGGGAGATTCGCTTGAAAGAGGCCCCGAATATTCTGTAATAACTCTTGCTAGGACGAAGCAATTTGAGCGAAACAATGTGCAATGTGCTCCTCACTATATCACTGATGTCGGAAGAAAACCTTGTATCTCCAAAATTGTAACTTTACAGGAGAAGGAAAAAACCTACTTTACTTATAATGTAAATCAGTGGAACCAGAGTTTTTCCCAAGTCATTTTGGGTCGTTTCTTTTGGTTTATTCTTCATAAAATTTATACACAATGTAAAGAGCAACAGGCATTTTCAAATTATGCCATAAACTAAAAAATTGGAGATAAGAGGTTTTCTTCCGACAGCAGCAATATGGAGCTTCAAACAAGCCGGGATACCCCTGCGTCGGAGCGATGAGGTTGGCGCCGAACAGCCATCGTGACGTTTAACCTCCTCCCAATTTCCGGGTGCAGACCCCCGTACCCTTTTGTGTGTCTGGCAGAAAACTGAGATCATTTCCAGCATCGCATGTAATGCAGTCGATTACACATACGTCAAGGTATGTAGCGTATTTTTTTGGTTCAGATTGTTTCATCCTAACGGGAGTTACAACAGAATATTCGGGGCCTCTTTCAAGTGAATCTCCCTGTATCTACTGTTCTTCCCTCCAATGTACACCTCCAAAAATTAAAATGTGTAAACTGACAGATACTTAGATTTTAAGCGGCACTGTTGACTGTTGGCTGTAAATTCCTGAGTGATGACGATGCTGATGGCACATGGACACGTTCTTTACTTGTGGGCAGCTGAACGTATTGCGTATGGCAGAGCTTCTCAAGTTGGGGGCCGTTTGGTGGGCAGTAGAAAAATCTCAGAAGTTGTATCCCCACTTAGTAATATTTAATTTATTAAAAAATTAAATCAGATTGATGGATGTTATTAAATGTTAATAAAATCATGTACGTGCATGCAAGGGCAATTCCACCAACTTTCAAAACTTTTTGCATAATTCAGTGTTTGGGATGTAAACAAAAAAAAATGCAGAGTGGTTTGATGTGAAAGTTTTTACAGTGGGGTGATAGGAACCAGGGGTCGCCATGACTACAGCACAAATATAGCCATTTTATTTACTATCCAAAATATTGACTCAGATTTCTTTACAGTGGTGGTAAAAGGAACCAAGTGTTACAAAAACAAATATAACCATTATATTTACTATATAACCATTTCATGTAATAACTTTCTGTTAGGGAGCTTTTAGAGGGGGACGTCTGGTTCCTATCACCACCACTGTGAACAGTTCTGACTTCTTTAGTACAGAGGCTTTCATAACAAACCGCTCTGAATGACTCTGTGTACATCTTAACCATTTAATTATGCATACACTTAACATTTGGTGGAATTCCCATTATCCCATTATCCAGAGTTAGCACAGAACAGCAGCACGTCTCTTGTATGTGCAGGTCAGCAATAGCTAGCAAAATGGACAATATTCTAGTAAGTAATAGCGTAGAAGTAGTGACCAGGGAGCGAAGGTGGCATTGACTGTCCACAAAGGGGGTTTAAGAATAAAAATATTTGAGAACTGCAGACATATGGGATTTTGTATAGTACTAGCAGTGCATAAATCGAGTAGCCACTCCCATCTCAGTACTTTCTAATGAGATTTCTTCTTCCATGTGATTGGTCAGTAAGCATTAGGCAGCCTGTGCTCATGTAAGACATCCTATTCCAGCAGTACTGTAGATGTCCATTGCTTGTTAGCTACATTAGACTTGTAGCAAACTACAAAAGCAAACTGCAGACGCCAGATATATCTTGGCTGATGAAGTACGTTTGAGTAAAGGAGAACATTGTGTGAATTTGGCTACGTTCACATTACAAGCCTCATTGCTGAAATCCGATCTCTCTGACACGATGGTTCACACTCGTTTAGGTAAGTGATTCAAATCTGTTATTAATGTGAACCAACCGGCGTCCTGAAATGACCCTCATGACCACATCCTACTCAGTAACGACATCAGCAAACAAACTAACGAGCAGAACGAGCTTCGCTGAGAAGATAATTAAATCTGATCAGCTCTCAGCTTCATTATTAGAGCGAGACGAAGGAGAAAAAGGTGAGATGAGCTGCTTTTCCACCGTTTACAGGCTTTAACTTCTGTTCGGCGCTGCTGCCATGGTAACGCTGAATGATGGTGCAATGGAAAAGAAGCACATGAATTCCGATCTGAGCGTCACATTAAGGTCACATGGCCACGAATCGGATACGTATCCGATCTAGGACCACATATGAAAGTGGCTCAGGTCGGATTTAAAAAAGATCAGATTTGTGTCCACACAGCTCTGAAAACATCAGATCCGAGTCACATTAGGGCCAAAAATCTAATTTAGTGTCACTTCAACCTGGTAATGTGAACAGCCTAACAAGCAGAATGAGCGTCTCTGTGAAGATCTAATCAGCTCTCAGCTTCATTATTAGAGCGAGAAGAAGGAGAAAAAGGTGAGATGAGCTGCTTTTCCACCGTTTACAGGCTTTAACTTCTGTTTGGCACTGCTGCCATGGTAACGCTGAATGATGGCGCAGCACAGTGGGAAAAAAGCACGTGAATTCCGATCTGAGCGTCACATTAAGGTCGCATGGCCACAAATTGGATACGTATCCGATCTAGGACCACATATGAAAGTGGCTCAGGTGAGATTTGTATCCACACAGCCCTGAAAACATCAGATCTGAGTCACATTAGGACAAAAAATCTAATTTAGTGCCACTTCAACCAGGTAATGTGAACGTAGCCTTTGATTTTTTTTTGGTGAACCATCCCTTTTAAAGTCACACTTCTTGATTTGAGAAATTCTAGTTATATTCTAACTGACCCTTTGAGATGACTGCAGTCTTACTGGATCAGTCAAAAATAGTTTTATTGCTGTGTGCGGTCAGTGAGCAGTTGGGAAAGATTCAGCTCTTCCTTTGAAATAATAACAAGCAACATGACTCATCGTTTCACTTTGACTTTTCACTTTGAAATTTCTGATTCAAATCAAGAACGGGGGCTTTAGAGTGGGATCAAAATGTAAATCCTTTTTCTCTCAATCAAAAAAAAATCTAGTGAGCAACACTTCATGTGGTATAGAGCAGGGTAACATTCACTAATGAGATTAGATAAAGAGCATACGTCATTTTTACTCTCACCATTTGTGCATTTGACTGTTCATCTTTTGTGCAATATGTTTGTATTGATGGAGATATATGATTTGGTACCACGATCCTTCCATAAAAAAATAGCTGTTCATAGTATGGACAAAAAATAGAATGATTTCATGACTTTCAATCCTTGTTCCTAAAGGTATTTTTGTAAGATAACATGCAGTCAGACGAATTGCTCAAAACCTTAGCGTTAACTCAGTGCCAAAAATGTTTTTAAACTTTATGTACTTGTAAGAAATGTAAATATTGTTAGTAAAATGTTGCATTTTTTCCAGTTTTTAAAAGATCGAAAATAATATCACTAATACAGATGAAAATAACGCACTCTACTAATAACATATAACTATACACCGATCAGGCATAACATTCTGACCACCTCCTTGTTTCTACACTCATTGTCCATTTTATCAGCTCCACTTACTATATAGGAGCACTTTGTAGTTCTACAGTTACAGACTGTAGTCCATCTGTTTCTCTGATACTTTGTTAGCCCCCTTTTACCCTGTTCTTCAGTGGTCAGGACCCCCATGGACCCTCACAGAGCAGGTACTATTTGGGTGGTGGATCATTCTCAGCACTGCAGTAACACTGACGTGGTGGTGGTGTGTTAGTGTGTGTTGTGCTGGTCTGAGTGGATCAGACACAGCAGTGCTGCTGGAGTTTTTAAACACCTCAGTGTCACTACTGGACTGAGAATAGTCCACCAACCAAAAATATCCAGCCAACAGCGTCCTGTGACCACTGATGAAGGACTAGAGGATGACCAACACAAACTGTGCAGCAGCAGATGAGCTATCGTCTCTGACTTTACATCTACAAGGCGGACTGACAAGGTAGGAGTGTCTAACAGAGTGGACAGTGAGTGGAGTGTTTAAAAACTCCAGCAGCACTGCTGCGTCTGATCCACTCAGACCAGCGCAACACACACTAACACACCACCACGTCAGTGTTACTGCAGTGCTGAGAATGACCCACCACCCAAATAGTACCTGCTCTGTGAGGGTCCATGGGGGTCCTGACCACTGAAGAACAGGCTAAAAGGGGGCTAACAAAGTATCAGAGAAACAGATGGACTACAGTCTGTAACTGTAGAACTACAAAGTGCACCTATATAGTAAGTGGAGCTGATAAAATGGACAGTGAGTGTAGAAACAAGGAGGATGGATCGGTGGATGCCCTTGACTGAAACCTTTTCAGATCATGTTGAACTGCTAATTGCAGGTCAGATTAAAAATAGAACCACAAACTATCCAGCAGACAAAAGTGCAGCTTACGTACTTGACCAACACTACAGAGCATACTGCTGCACCATCTATCAGCATTTGTATGGATCAATATTGGCTATTATGATCATCTGGTCTGCTGTTTTAAAGCACTGACTCCAGAAATCTTCCACCTGGAACTGTGGGGGGACCAAAAAGATTCATTTGGATTGTTATTGGTGGTTATTGTCATGTAAATGACTATATTACATCAAATTGGTGTCATAATGGATTTTGTTAATGTGAAGTCTGAAGCAGTCGCGCTGCTCCGGCACATCAGCATTTACATGACATTCATCAAAGGGCGACTGCTTTGAAAGTACCAGTGAGATTGTAATGTTTTGCGTTTGTGTTATTTCTGTATTGTAATCTTGGCTCTCCTTAAAGGGGAATTCCACCACATTTCAAAATTTCTGCACAGTTTCAGCGTTTGAGATGTAAACAGAGTGATTCAGAGTGGTTTGGTGTGAAATGGTTGATTGTAGAGAGATTTCTTTACAGTGATGGTGATAGGAACCAGGGGTCGCCATGACTACAACACAAATATAGACATTTTATTTATAATCCAAAACCACCAGTGAACCTACACGAGTCTTCTGAGTTTTAGATGTAATCTCAATGATGGTAAAATATTCATAAATCTGAAGAAAGAGTGAAAGGATTAAAA